CAAGAGAAATAAAGAAAATGCAAATGGTAAACAACAGAATCAGGATAACACTCAAGTGTTGATGGTAATTTCAAGCATTTTAACAGAAAATGATGAGACTGCATTGTTTAACCAAGAGCATTTGAATGGAAATGGTGCTTGGTGGCTAGATAGTGGAGCAACTGAGCATATGTGTAGCCAAATCGAATGTTTTGAATCATTGACAAAATTAAAAGAAGGGAGACAAGTAAAAATTGGAAATGGGACACTAATTGATGTGAATGGAGTGGGAAAAATTCAAGTACAAGCATGGAATGGCAGCTCATGGGTAAAAACAATCCTTAACAACGTTTTATTTGTTCCCAATTTGGCAGTAAACTTGTTTTCTCTGAGTGCTGTGTTGGACCGAGGTTTTGAAATGCATTCAAACAAGGATAGATGTGATTTGTTAGATATGGAAGGTCGAATCATAGCAGTAGCAGTTAGACAAGGAAATTTGTATAAAATGCAGTTCAAAAACCAGATGAAAGTTGATAATGAAAAACCTGAAATATCACAGTGTAATATTGTGGAAAGTCTAACGGATTGGCACTGTAAATTGGCCCACATTAATTTTGAAAAAGTGAAAAGTGTCCTAAAGCATACCAATATAAAATTCAAGGATGAAAAGAAACCATTATGTACACTATGCCTAACTGGAAAACAACACCGACTTCCATTTCCTATAAGTGAATCCAGAGCAGAAAAATCAGGAAAGTTAATACACGCTGATTTGTGTGGACCGTTTGAAGTAGCCTCCTTAGGAGGAGCAAAATATTTTCTTTTGCTGAAGGATGATTTTTCTGGATACAGGTATGTTTATTTTTTAAACAATAAATCTGAAACTTTCTTGAAGATTAAACAGTTCATGGTGTTGGCTGAGAATATTACTGGCAATAAAATAATTACATTCCGTTCTGACAATGGTTTAGAATTCATTAATAAAGAATTGAAAAACTTGTTTGATACAAAGGGCATTCGACATTAAAGATCCTGTTCCTACACACCCCAGCAGAATGGAAGGGCAGAAAGAGATATGAGAACCATTGTAGAAGCTGCAAGGACCTTGCTACACAGTAAAAATATGGATAAGTCTTTCTGGGCAGAAGCAGTTAATTGTGCTGTATTTACACTGAATAGAGTGGGGAGCAATTGCCAAACCAATGAATCACCATTTAAGTTATGGCACAATAAAGATTTTGATCTGACTTTCTTCAAGGAGTTTGGTACAACAGTAAAAGTACATGTACCAAAAGAGAAAAGGCTGAAATTAGATTCTAAAAATAGAGAAGGCATTTTTGTAGGCTACAGTGAGGAAATAAAGGGCTATCGAATTTACTTCAAGGACAAGAATAATGTAGAGACGCATAGAGACGTCGTTTTCATACCTAGAATGAGTCAAGATGAAGTAAATCTCGAAGTAAATAGTCCCACTGAAAAAGTCATAAAATTGGACCTAGATAACAATGATGAGAGTGAATCAGAACCGGAAGTGGCCGAAGATGAAAACCAAGAAATGTATGGAATAGAAAACTTAGATGAAATAGGTGACCAAAACTCGAATGAAAACTCCATCAATGAAACAGTCGATATACAAGAAATAGAAATTGAAGATACCCCAGAATCCAGTACAAGATTACCTAAAAGAAAAATTCAGGCACCTACTTGGTTGAACGATTATGAGACGAGTTTCTTTTCAGAAAATGAGAACCCTATTAGTTTGGAAGAAGCCTTGAATGGAAATAATGCCACGAAATGGCAAGAGGCTATGGATAAGGAGCTGCAAGTTCTAAAAGAGAACAACACATGGTCGGAAGCACCATGGCCAAATGACAAGAAGGTGATTGAAAGCAAATGGGTCTTCAAAAAGAAAAGTGAAAGTGAATTTAAAGCGCGTTTAGTGGCTCGCGGATTTCAACAAGAAAGTGATGACAATTTTTATGACATTTATGCACCTGTGGCAAAATTGACAACCGTCAGGGTGCTACTAGTGCTTAGTCTGAAATTGGGTAAGCCAATTTTCCAAATGGACGTGAAAAGTGCATTTTTATATGGTGAAATCGAGGAAGAAGTTTTCATGACTTTACCAGGTAAAAATAAGAATAATTGTAGCACAGTTTGTAAATTGAATAAGTCCATTTATGGTCTCAAAAGATCACCTAAATGTTGGAATTCTAAATTTGATAATTTGATGAAAAGGGAAGGTTTTGATAGGTCAGAGAATGATTATTGCTTATATTCAAAATGTTCACAGAATGATCAGTTATTTGTAATATTGTATGTGGATGATCTTTTAATTCTTGGCACTAAATTGGAAAAAGTCAATAGCTTGAAATCAACTTTGCATACCAACTTCAGCATGAAGGATTTAGGAGTAATTTCTCAGTACTTGGGTATAGAGGTTGAACAAAATTTAAATCAAGTTATGTTCAATTGAGTCAAGAAAGTTATTTAAAAGAAGTTTTGCAGAAATATGGTATGCAAGATTGTAAAGCTATTAGTACACCTATTGATATGAATAATGACCTTAGCTACTTAAAAAACTGTAATGCTGACCCTAAATTTCAAAATATTTGTAGAAAAATCATAGGCAGTCTCATGTACGCTGTACAGGGCACTAGGCCTGACTTATGTGAAAGTGTATGTCTTCTCAGTAGATTCCAGGAAAAAGCAGACGAAAATTTGTATAAAGCATTGAAAAGGGTCTTGAGATATGTAAAGGGCACCCTGAATTATGTTTTATTTTTTAAGTTAGAAGGTAATACTGCTTTGAGAGGATATGTAGATTCAGACTGGGGAGGGGATGTTCAAGATAGGAAGTCCACAACAGGATATATTTTAAAATTATATAACTGTACCATAATATGGGCGAGTAAGAAACAGCAAAGTGTGTCAATCTCTTCCACAGAATCAGAATATGTGGCTCTAATGTTTGCAGTCAAAGAAGCATGTTGGCTGAGAAAAATTTTGAATGATTTTGGTTGCTTCAAAATGAATGAAAGTGTTATTATTTTGGAGGACAACCAATCTGCTATTAAAGTTGCTAACAATCCTGGAGACAATAAGAGATTGAAACACCTTGACATAAAACTAAATTTTGTGAAAGAGAAAATAGACAGTGGAGTGGTGGATATACAGTACATTAAAACCGAAGATCAACTGGCCGATATATTTACCAAGCCATTGTCTAGAGTCAAGTTTGAGAAATTCAGGGAGGGTTTGGGTTTGACCAAATCACTGCTCTAATTTTTTTTTTTTTTGCTGTAAATTTTTATATTTTGGAATAATGGTAAAATACTTATATTGAGGGAGGGTGTTAAATTACATTGATCAATATCAGTATTTTACTCGGTATTTAATTATAAACTTAAGAATTTGTATTTTGTTTAGAACAACGTTAATCCTGGTAGAAGTGTGAATCTACCTTTAGTTGGCATGAAAAAGTTTGGTTAGGATTTTTCACGTTGTTGTTGTTCTGTCTGTTCGGTTCCAGCCTGAGCGTTGGCATGTTGTGCAAAATAAAAAGTTAATAATTCGCCGTTGTTTCATTGAATTTTACAAGCCCAAGCCATTAATTTTAACAGATACCTTATAGAGATTTGCATTATGTTAAGGCACCCCAGATGACGTCATAAAGTTACCAGGCATCCTACCTCTCTCGCCTTTATCAAACAACTTTGCAATAAATAACATCTCTGGCAAGTAAACAAAATGGCGCGGATTTTCGCACCGGCCGCCTGGGCCATTCGCATTCTTTCAAAACAAAAAAAAAACTTCCTCTGTGCAAATAAACGTCAACCATTGTTCATTAGATTTAGGCATTTTCGGAAACATTCATCCTCGCTTACTCGATTTCAGGCCTATCTACTTCAGGCATCATCTACTCTTAAATTTTCTAAAGAAACCTTAATGTACGTATGTTGATTTTTAAAGGTAGGGCATTACCATTTAAAAGATAGGGCATTGCCCCCCAATGCCCCCCCCCCCCCCCCTGGCTACGGCCCTGCGCGGGCATAAAGTACACATTACACAAAAAAAGAGTTTTCGATTAACTTATTCTTTATTAACAAAAATATATATTTATTATTCAAAACCAACTGGTATGACATAAAAGTTTGTATGCACCACGGGTACTAATAGATATATACCCTTGGGCGACTTACGAACCCTCAGGCCAGAGGCCCTTGGCTTTGTGAGACTGTCGCCCTCAGGGCATATTCATCTATTTAGTACCCTTGATACATAAATAACTATTCAATCATGGATTAAATTCAAAGTTGTCAAATGATTGCTCTAAAGTCTAAAATTAACCGTTAAGGTTTTATAGTCTGCCAAAGTTGCAAAAAAGTTAATTTTTTCTCGCCTTTGAATTGCCTTAGCTGCGCTTAGGGGGCGCCGAATCTCAGTCTCCCCCTCTAGGGATAGTCATATCGCTACGGCCCTTAATGAATCACCATATAAATAATCCTAATACACCCATATATACCTACAAATTTTCTGCAAAAATGGTTCACTAATTTAGACGAAGGACATTTTTCGTTGCCCGGGAGGAAAAAAACCACTTGCCACTCTTGTTGAGTTTTCTAGTAAGGGAGTAGAGAGTAGAAAAAAAGTACCTATATTATATGCCTAGTTGGTTATTACACATCGAGCGCTTCTATAATGCGCAAGGTATACCTATAAAGACTTGCGCTTCCAAGGAATATATAGAATTTTTTTTAACTACTACAAGTAATGAATTAAAAAAATGACTTGGAGGAAACACATCATCATCCAAGGCACGACATAAACATAAAAAGCTCAAAGAAAAAATCATTATAAGTTCTATGTTTCACACAGCAGAAAACAGAAAATAAGATTTAATCCCTTGGCTGATTTCCTAGCCTCGTCTACGCCTCGCGTGCTTTTCCGTCTAGTAAAACAAATAACTATTAATGATTTAGTGGTCTGATAGGTTGATTCTTTCTTGGAGGTTTGTATGTTTATGTCGTATATTGGATGATGTGTTTCCTCCGGGGGTTTACTGTTGACTTTGTTGACTGACTGACAGTTCTGGGTGGATTCTGGGGATCAGCATTTTTTGTTGTTAGCTCAGGAAATTCATTTACATCTATTGCTTTAGTCACTTTAGTGGAATGATATTTATTTTTGTGGGTTTTAGGCTCCTTGACTGCTTTTTTAAAAAATATTGTGTTGATTAGGGTTGCGGGTGATGATTGTGGCTGAGGGTCGTTCGTTGGGAACCTTGAACTCGTAAGTTTAGTTCGTTTAGTTGGACAGTAATTTTTCAACATTTGTTTTCCTATAACAGGTGTCTATTTAGTTCGGAAATACTTTTCGTTTGTTCTCTGAAGTCATTTTCTTTGTAGAGGGCTTTTATTATCTTCTTTGTTATTAAGGGATCTTTAACAGAACGGGAGTATTTCAAAATTTGGCCTAATGGGAGGGATTTAGTAAAGGATTAATTAGGCTAGGATTCAGGTTCTGTCGATTCAATTCCTTTCACTCTCATTGCTTTTTTATGAGATTTTTCAGAAAATTTTTAGACTTCAAAAAATAAATTTCGCACGAGTACACACTCTAGCAGCTGCATCACTAGTATACTACTTATGCCCTGTTATGCTTGTCCAGAGGGTGGAATTTCTGCCAGTTGCGGCATTGAAGTCTCCTAACAAAATAACGTTGCCTCATCAAGGTAACCTTAATAAGATTTTATCAAGATAATTATTAAAACTCTTATTTTTTCCGTATGCACTGATAATAGTCAATTTTTGGTTGTTTATGCCAGAAAGAAGCTCATCTTCAAAATGATCCAAGACTTTATTTCTTATAACAGAGTACCCAGAGTACCACGTGCATTCGAAGCTTGTATTATTTCCTTTGCAGCAGAAAGTGTAGCCTCTGTCATGTTCTGTGAGTTGGGCATCGCCCGCAGTCTTGCTTGGCTTGTTGTCCTTCAAGACATGCCTGTACTTGATGTATTTTAGCGTGTGAATGTGGCTGCACTACAACAATCACACGATCCTTAAAAGCTAAAATCTCAGCCCAGTGGCATAGAAACCAGACGACCTTAGTAACCTTCTGTTGCAGAAAAGTTATAACCTAGAAACCTTGGCCTTAGATAACTACCCGTCTGCAGGAATTTGTTATGTTGGGGCTAAGAACTCTAAAAAGTAATACATAGACGCAATAAAAAAATATTGTGTTTGTCGAAAAGGTAGAATTTTGTAGGGTGGGATCAAGGTAGGGGTATCGGAGAATTGGCATCACTGCCTGTACCGACTATGCTTGCCGTATCGACAATCAATATTCCAGTGATACAGATGATTTTCAAACAGACATTAAATATAATAAATAAAACAATAACTAACTATATAATAAACCTTCTTCTAACTCTTATCTTTACAGTAAAAAAAAGCACAAGCGTGCTCAGAAACGTCACTCCAGTCGCCATAGTATTTTGTTGCCCTCTCATCATTAAACTCGACCCAAGTGGATTTATCTATAAGTCCGTGTGCGATATAATGGCCATGATTCATTGTACCTTTATGCTCAGCAATAGAAAACAGCTTATAAAGGGAGTTTCCAAATTTGAATTGAAAATCAAACTCAACTGGAACAGAATTTTTTTTGATCTCCTGATATTCGTCTCGGAAATATCTTTTTAGGATTAACACAAGAATTTCTGGAGCCAAGGTGATTTCTTTCGTGTTTATTACCCCCAGATTTTTACACTTGGAACATTTATAGTCCAATATTTGATTATCTTGCAAATAATTGCTGATAAGGTGTTTTAGCTGCACACTTCGTACGCCTGGGTCATGAGGAACTGGTAGCATAAATGAATTATCCGTTTCATATGAGTCCACAGTTGCTTTGCACACTAAGCAAGTTTTGGTACATTTGAATTGATGGTAAAACAAATCTACCCAGAAGGATGTCCTACCTTGCAGGTGAGTATACCAAGATTTTGTCCTTTCGAGCATCACACCGGTTTGTCTGCGTAAATCAAATGCACAGTCATCATGTAGTTGGTTGAATAAAAATATGAAAAATTCCATGCAATCTTCATGGTTGCCTTTTGAATATAATGGATCTAGTCTGCTGACAGCCTCATAAAAAGCAGTGGGACGAAACACTTTCCTGTCATTTTCTGCGCCTTCACAAAGGGATTGGATAACTTTAACAAATTCTGTAATTATACGTGGATCTCTCCTGGTGATTCGGTTTGATAAGTCCGAATGCATCATTCTTCTGATAATTGGTATGCATTTCAAGCATTGGAGCACAGTATTCATGTAACATGTGTTTCGTATGTTTTTTAAGCCGCAATAACCGGCGGTAGGGGTTTCACTCTAGAAAAGGACAAAAATAAAATAAAATAGGTTAACAATGAATAATTTTTTTCTGTACATTTCTTAGATGTAGCCAGTGAAATGACTACTACGTAAATGGAATGGCATCAGTATTTATCACGCCCGAGGCAAATTTTTAATAGAGTGATAAGGGTGGCCGTCTATGTCTTACGCATTCTTAGACAGGGCTAGATGAATTTATTATACCCCACCATTGCTCGTAAACATGTACTTGTGCGACAGAGCAAACGACCCCTTTTATTGTCGTTCTCACTTCCATGAAATTTGCCTTAAAAATGGACATTGAAAGTAGCTGTTAGGTCCGTTCCAGTTACGTGTAGTAGTTGACTGGCTGTAGCATGGTTACAGAAATTGACATATTACGTAGAATTCAAAAACACAAACGAAAGAGGAAGTAGACAAATAGACTTTGGACACTAAAACTCTTTGTGATGGACCCCTTCAAAAAACGTGCTAACGAAAAATGGACATGGGCAAGCCCTGGCGGTCGAACAAAGAACGCGATAGATTTGATTACCAGAAATGGAAAAGATGTTTTTGAAGTAGTCAGGAACATGGATTTTTGCAGAAGATTCTGAAAGAATAGCAAATATCACATGGTGTGAGCAAAAGTAGAAATAAACACAAGGCAAAAACAAAACAGGGTTTTAACAACTGGAGAGATGGAATACACCAAAACAAAACTAACAAGAATAATACAAGAAACAAATACCAGAAATGTCTAATCTTGAAAAGCAGCCAAAATTAGCCATAAAACAATATAAACGAATTATTTTAAAATTAATAAAATGGACCAGTTTGGAATTATTGACCCGCAGTCCGCAGTGACGCAACCATTTTTATACAAACAATTTTACATTATTGTTGTTAATTAACTAGTAAGTTTGAAAATTGAAGCAATCCTGATCGACGCAATAATGCTTATACAAACAACTCCTGGTGGAAAAAAAGCACAAATTCATCGGGTTAACAAACTGCAGAATCATCACATAGTTCCAAATTACGTATTATAATTAACAATAACTTTTTTATATTGTCACAACTACCCGCTTTACGGAAGTGACATGGGGGGTTTGTAGCTTTGGGGGTTGATGGAGAGAAACTCGCTTAGGTTATATAAAAATATATATATATATTTTCCCAAATATAACCTTACATGCACGCTAATCCTATAAGATACATGACCCTTCGAACACTGGGGTCCTTATAGGGAGCGACACGCCAATGCTGCTTGGGAGACTGTAGATTAGTTTATCGTCACCCTTATGCCTTGTCCAGACGGGCGTTCCCAACGAGAGGTAATTGCACTGGACAACGATAAAGCTGAAGATACCGAGAGGGGCGTTCCCAACGAGAGGTACTTGCACTGGGGAGACTTAATTCCAGAGGGGCTTTTCCAACGAGAGGTACTTGCACTGGTTTAAGTCTGCCTTTGCTGCGGCTTGCAGAGCAATTTATATCAATTTATTGCTGAATTGCAATAAACATCCGACCGAATCGACAATTAAATCAATAAGTTTGAATACCGGGTCCTCCTTTCCCAAGCAGCTATTTGACAATATAAATAGCGGCTCATTTCAATTAATAAATCAGTATAAAACCTCTCCTGGTGTACTACTCACAAACTACAACACCCAAGCCTATATCCAGAGTGTGAGGCTGCACTCTATACACAACACCCTTCACAGTTGTCACCTCTAGCAGGGCACTGTAAATATACCTATTGACAGCAAGGAAACCTTAGTCAAAAGGGCCTTATTATCAAAAATTACTAAGAGGTTATTCCCATATCAAAAGGGAATCTTTTACATGGTCCTTCGAGCAAAAAGTTGAACAGAAGAGAAGGATAACTCCCTTGAAAAAAGGGAGTTACAGTGAAATTACCAACAAGCGGTTCAATCAGCCACCGACAACAACAGCCCCATCAAGGACACACCGGCGGATCACGTGCACCAGCCACTGTCGTTCATCCTCAACTTTAAAAGAACTTCAACTCCAATCCAACAACGAGAGACTAATTATCAACAAGCTGATTGATAAGATCTTGGAAACACCATCAATCATCCACGAATCAGCATACAAGCTGAAGCAACTGCATGACACAATGATAGAATGTATAAAAGCGCTCAACAACATGAAGGTAGATACCAAATCTTGGGGACCACTAATCTCAAGACTAATATGTCGCAAATGGGATGCCGCAACAAATCGATTATTCGAGCAATCCTTACGAGAGCCAAACAAAATGCATCAGCTAGACGACGTACTCAAGTTTCTGCAAACAAGATTTCAATCCCTTGAAGCCTGCGTACAAAGTAAAAAAAAAGTCCAGCGAGCAAACCCACAGCACAACTGAAAGCTGCGGATACTGCAACGAGCCAAACCATAGCATCTACAATTGTCAGAAGTTTCAAGCATTAACTCCTTCTGCAAGATTTAAAGTCATTATGGAAAAGAAGATCTGCATAAACTGTCTGAGACACCCAGCGCACATAAGATGTAATTCAACCGCCGTATGTCACACCTGCAAGAAATTCCATCATACAATGGTACATGTAGACTTTAACGAAGAGAGAAACCAGAACCGAGCCAGAAGCTTCCAGCAACCAAACAACAGAAACGGCCAACCAAATCAGCAACCCCGTAGAGATACAAGGCAGTTCTCAACCAATCACCTTGGGAGACACAACGAATTGGTCCTGTTGGCAACAGCAGTCATCAAAGTTCACCAGAACCAAGGGATAGTTGAGCATTTACGTGTGTTAATAGATCCAGACTCTCAATCCACATTCATAACTGAAGAAGCTGCTTCATTACTATCCATATCACGTCAGCGCATAAGAGCCGACGTATCTGGACTTGGAAGCGCAGAACCTTAAGTGGCAAAATGGATAGTAGAAATAAACGTCAAGCCAAAATTCCCGAGCAGTTTCTCAATGGAAATTCCATGTATTGTTCTACCCAAACTGACAGGAACGCTACCAAGTGAAGAAATCGCCGTAAACATCGACCAATGGAAAAACGATGTACTTGCTGACCCCACGTTCTACCGACCTGGGCCAATCGACATCATATTGGGGGCAAAAGAATATGGAGAAATAATTCAAACGGGCATTCGAAAAACAGAAGATGGACTACTGGGACAGCACACTGAATTTGGGTGGATTCTGTCCGGAAACATTCTACGACATGAGAGAAAAAATATGCAAGTTATCAGTCTAATAACGTGCATTGAGGAAGTTCCTTTCTGGGAACTAGAAGAAGTAGCCCAAAGCAGGCCAACCACTGAAGAAGAGAAATTCTGCGAAAACCATTATCAACTCAACACGAGCAGAAACAGCGACGGTATGTGTACGTACCGTCGCTGTCAAAATCCCATTCAACGATAAACTACAACAACTATCTATATAAGGGATCTCAAGATCACGTGCAGCCGCACGACTACTGCAGCTGGAGAAACGATTTTCAAAAGATCCTCAACTTGAAGAGAAATACACTCAATTCATGGAAGAATACATGAAACGCAATCATATGAGAACATGTCCGCAACTAAACAGTAGCCCATGCTACATTCCTCACCAGCCTGTAATAAACGAATCCAGCTTGACAACAAAATTGAGAGTAGTATTTGATGCCTCAAGCAAAACTTCAAGTGGAATCATACTTAAAGATGCAATGCACTCTGGCCCGAAACTCCAGCAGGAATTGCCAGACATATTACTTCGTTGGAGACCACATAAAATTGTATTGGCAGCAGATGTCGAGAAAATGTATCGGCAAATTAAAATTCACCCAGACGACCAAAAATATCAAAAGATTCTATGGAGATTCGGACCAAATGAAGCAATACACGAATACACGCTAACGACAGTTACATATGGAACCACCTCAGCCCCATACTTGGCCATAAGAACGTTACAGTAACTGGCAGAAGATGAGAAAGACAATTTCCCACTAGCATCTAGAGTTACTAAACCGGGGCAGATACGCTCGAAGAAGCCATCAATCTTCAGACAGAACTCATACGCATGTTCAAAGCTGGAGGATTCATCCTACGCAAATGGTCCAGCAACCATATACAAATCCTCAACTCTCTTGATGAAGAACTGCGAGAACAATCCTTACAAAAAATTACTGAAGACGGCACGCGAAAATCATTGGGAATCCATTGGGCACCATATGATGACACTTTCAGATTCAAAACGCAAGTCAACATGGAACAGAAAGTCACCAAACGCATTATTCTCTCCGAAGTTACGAAGCTGTTCGATCCGTTAGGATGGTTAGCTCCAGTAGTCATAAAGGCAAAGCTCTTAATCACGGAAGTCACTAACATTGAAAGCGGAGTGTCAAAATTATTTTTAATTATTGTTTATGTAGTATCTGTATCTATGTAAATATAATTTTATAAAGTACGTAAAACCTGTTGTTTTTTTTCTATTCACATCAAAAAATTTAAGTAATAGTACATTATATACCTAGGGACTGAAGTGGCACTTCTAATTCCGAGACAAAAAGTTTATAGCCCCTATGGTTACAAAATTTAAAATGGGATGACTCGATCCCGGTCAACATCCAGACAAAATGGAGGTCATTCCAGGATGAACTAAAGGCCGTGGAAGACATTTTGCTGCCCCGATGGACCAACTAAATGACAAACAATCAGAAGGAGTTACACAGATTCTGCGACGCCTCTGAAAGAGCGTACGGCGCTGTAATCTATCTCAAAGTTAACAGTAAGGAAGGACCACCCAAAATATCACTTCTCACAGCCAAATCTAAAGTTGCTCCCAACAGAACAAGAACTACACTCCCAAGATTAGAGCTATGTGCAGCTGTTCTTCTTGCAAAACTCATGAAAAGAACCGTCACTGCATTATCATTGGAGGAAGTTGATAAATATGCATGGACTGATTCAATGATAACAATATCATGGATAAAGGGAGACGTCACAAGATGGAAGACATTCGTGGCAAACC